TCTTTCCCTCGCCCATATATTGGGATAACTTTGTCTTGTCCACAACCTGCTTTACATACCGGACATAAGGGATTTTGAGCCTGTGCCTCTAACCACTTAATAATAAAACCAATCATTAGAAAGAAACATCAATTTACATCAAAACTTTTTGAATTCTTACTTGATGAAGACAAGGCCAACTAGTTCAATGTAGAGTTTTCTTATTAATAAATAGAATAGCTGAATGAAGTCATCAGGTCTCTGCTAAAAACTAATATTGTTATGACTACTAACCAAAATAAATGTCCACACAGTGTGAGAACGGGTGAAGAAGCGGTATCAAAACTGGTTACCGAATAATAAGTATAATGATAAAATGAATTTCATGAAGTTATTGGATTTATATTGTTGAACTGTGTCCTTACCAAATATTACATTCGTACTCTGAAGCCCCGTTTATGTTGGTACTATTATTGATGCTCTTAGTGCCGCTACTGCCTTCTCCTGCAGAAGTTGAAGACATTGATGATTCTGAGGAGCTATTCGCAGATTTTGATAATTTTGGTGGAATATGTATTGACGATATGCGGCGACGTCTCATACCAGACGCGTCTTTTAAAAATTGTGACTCATTGCTATTTTCACATTCCGCATTTTCTGTTTGTGGATTTACTACCTGCGTATTTGAATTTGAATTGTCCTGCACAAGTCCACCTCGGTCTTGTTCTATTATATTATTATTAGTCGACTCCAACTGATCGCCGTTCGTCTTTCCATTCATTTCGAATATTTATTTAATAATTTAAAATTATATCAGAAATGATAAATTTCATAAATTTTCAACGTAATACAAAATCAAGTATATATATGTATATATAGATCATCAATCATGTGGCGTTCATTATATAAGGCGCAGTTTATATCAGCGAAAAAAAAAAGTTTTTTATATAAAATAGGGTTTATCAAAAAAAAACCAATCTTTCCACTGTTTCGTTTTTTTTTTTTTTTATATTATTATTTTATAGCCGTGCACCGCTGAACGGTATACAGCTCAGAAAATTTAATATTTGTAACGACGAATCTTTGAGATGTTTTAGTCGGTTAAAATGAACCGAAGCTCAACTAATACACAAAAATTTAATTATGCTCAAGCTGCTGCGCAGCCAAAATCTAATCAACACCAAACTCACCATCAGAATCAGCAGCAACAGCAA